GTCTTGTTTTCAAGACATCCCCTCTGCCTCTGCAGACATTCCCTCTCAGACCCAGGGGAGAGGACCTGGGCAGCTCTGAAGGGAAAATAAGAGACTCATGGCTCTCTTTTCTGCATGTGAACTTGGAAGGGAGCTGGCTACACACAGGCCAACTTGATAGAGGGTAGGAAGAAGGTTTGGGACTAGGGATTCTCAACAGGCCAAAGGGAGGCTGATCTTCTCCCCATGGAGGGGAGACTTGAGGGTGGTGGTGAGCCATTCCAAGTCTGTCTCCCCTGCTCTGTATCCAAAAGATATCTCCTGCCGGAATGTGACAATGCTCAGAAATCATCCAGGTGCTGGAGACAGGTCTCAGCTGGCGTCAGCTGCAGACGTTCAACTCTCGGTCATGTTGGCTACCTCCTTCAGCCTTTGCTGCACCACACAAAGAAAACAAGGGCTGTCCTTCCAGGGGAGTGTTTCTGACAAAGTGGAACCACAGCAGCGGCCATGGAAGCCATGCCTGTAGAGGGTTTCAAATGCCTGTCGGCTTCCGCGGGTGAACCGGTTTCAGTTGGACTTTCAGACGAAGGCAGACTAGGAAGAAAGGCCTGGTGAACTGCTCCCTGGAGACTCCAACTCATGGCATCCCATGCTGCCAGGGATGAAATGGGTGCTCCAGAGGCTCCCAGAGGCTGATTCTTGGGAAGTGCATCACCAGGCCTTTCTTCCAAGGTGCCTTGGGCAGCTGTAAGATGAGGAGAAAGAAAATGGGCCGTGCTGGGTGGCTTCATAAGCAGTTTTAAAAACAAAACCAAAATAAACCAAGCTCACTAATGAACCAAAAGCCCTGGGGCCCTAACAACAACAACAACAAAAAAACCCCTTTCTTCTTTAATATCTCACTTCTTTTCCAAGGAATTCTTTTCCGTGCTGGCTGGCTGGCTGGCTGGTGAGGGCGAGGCGGAGACCCTTAAAGCCATTCTGTTCACACTGAAAACAAGGTGAGCAATTTTCTGAGGGCAGGCACCCCTGACCTCTGCTTTCCAGCCTTGTTCTTAATAAACTGCTCTTAGAAATTGGACCCAAAGAGCCGCTGGTGGCAATCTCTTTCCGTAAGTGGGTAGGGAGAAGCGGAGCGGGAGATGGCAGGGAGCAGAGAGCCACTCTGATAAGTATCGCTGAGGCCATGCAATTACACTTCCAGCTCGACATGGGAAGGGGTTACCTCAAACAGCCCTGCCAGAGACGCAGCCCTGTGGCTCCAGAGAGCAGGGCACGTTTCCAAGCGAGTTTTCTCACTCTGCACAATTCCTCTGGCGCCTCACACGCGCTGATTGATCACACAACTGCTCTCAATGAGAAGACAAGGGGGTCACGTCTACTGAAATGGGGTCCATTCCTGAGCTACCGTGCGTGCCTCCCAGGGCATAGAGAGCAGACTGGCCAGTACGAGAGGTGCCCCTGCATGGGGGGCTGGTGGACAGGGTGGGGTTCACCCCATCGATGTTGCTCACAGTGACCAGTGTCCTGACCCCTCTTTGAAGGGATCCATCCAGGCAAA